GATTTTTGTTTATAAATATACTAGCTTGGTTGTTTTCTATAATTTAGCAACTATTTCTACTTTTTTATTTTTTGCAATGACTCCAACTCTTTGTGTCATTAGCTAATTTACTTACATTTTCATCTTCTGGTTCACTGAAGAAGAATACTAAATTTTGATACAGGATTTACCCTTTTAGTGTTTTTTTTTTTTTTGAGACTGGGTCTTGCTCTGGCTCTGTTGCTGAGGCTAGAGTGCAGTGCCATGATCCTGACTCACTGCAACCTCTGCCTTCCTGGTTTGAGCGATTCTGCAGCCTCAGCCTCCCGAGTATCTGGGATTACAGGTGCCTGCCATCATGCTTGGCTAATTTTTTGTATTTTTTAGTAGAGACAGGGTTTCGCCATGTTGGCAAGGCTGGTCTTCAACTCCTGGGCTCAAGTGATCCAATCGCCTTGGTCTCCCAAAGTGTTGGGATTAAGGGCATGAGCCACCGCACTTGGTCCTTTTAGTGTATTTCTTAAAATGTCTTTCAAGATTGGCTTTGAAACTATGGTGACTTTCTTTTTTTTTTGAGACGGAGTCTCGCTCTGTCGCCCAGGCTGGAGTGGAGTAGCGCGATCTCCGCTCACTGCAAGCTCCGCCTCCCGGGTTCACGCCATTCTCCTGCCTCAGCCTCCCGAGTAGCTGGGACTACAGGCGCCCGCCACCTCGCCCGGCTAGTTTTTTGTATTTTTTAGTAGAGACGGGGTTTCACCGTGTTAGCCAGGATGGTCTCGATCTTCTGACCTCGTGATCCGCCCGTCTCGGCCTCCCAAAGTGCTGGGATTACAGGCTTGAGCCACCGCGCCCGGCCGAAACTATGGTGACTTTCTAGCAGTGTATGCACATCCAAAATATTTATAGTTTATTAATGAGAATCATATGGGGTCTCTTCTGAAGCACAGCCTACTTACTAAGCATACTGTCTAGCCTCCTCTCGTGGGCCTGTCAGTCCAGCATAAGGGAGATCACTTCACAGAATTTCCTTGTCTGTCACCTTAATCTGTTTAGACTTGGCAAGATTAGAGCCGCTTGATTGTGGGATTGGCTTTAGAGCTTTCCTTGCTGGCAGAGTTAAGTTTATTCATCTCCAATTATTAGTCACCATATCCCGGTTTTTTTTTTTTTTTTTTTTTTTTTTTAAGATTAGACACAAATATTTACCCTTCCTTCAGTTTTTTTGAGAACTTTCTATGACTCCTATGTGTTCTTAGCCCTGGTGATCTGGCTATAGCAGTAAAGTTATTTACATTGTATAGTATTATTATGTTGTCTTAAGGTTGAAAAGGAAAATGAAATCTTTTTCATCGGTGTTCAGTTAAATATAAAATGGTTGATTTTTAGGGGAGATCTGGTTTAATCTTGGTCTTATAAATTCTTTTTCTTTAAACAGGATTTCTGGAATTCATAGGGTATGGAATGACACTGCTGCATATTTATCAGTCAGAATAGCATGCAGTTTAGTGGAGAGTACTTGTTAGTCCAGTGCCTTACCAAGATAAGTGCTCATCTACTGGTGGAACGAAGGAATGCACTTTTACCTCTTTATACTGGTGCCAGTGTTAATCTGAATTATACTGCTTATTCTTTTCCTATTCTTTGTATTAGAACTAGAGCTCCTCCTTCAGTGCAAATAACCTGGAGAATGTATTATGCTTATTTCACTGTTATAGTTACTGTTTGTTAGATAACATTCACATTTTCAAAGAGGAAGTATGCATTTGTCAGACTGGGTGGCAGAAATAGATACTTCTTTTTTTGTTTTTTTGTTTTTTTTTCTGAGATGGAGTCTTGCTGTCACCCAGGCTGGAGTGCAGTGGCACGATCTCAGCTCACTGCAACCTCCGCCTCCTGGATCAAGCGATTTCTCCCGCCTCAGCCTCCCGAGCAGTTGGGATTACAGGCTTACACCACCATGCCCATGCCCGGCGAATTTTTGTGTTTTTTTTTAGTAGAGACGGGGTTTCACCATGTTGGCCAGGCTGGTTGCAAACTCCTGACCTTGTGATCCACCTGCCTTGGCCTCCCAAAGTACTGGGATTACAGGTGTGAGCCACAGTGCACCAGCCAATATTTATTTGTTATTCTTATGTGTCTGGGGGTAAGGCAATACTAGATATAGAAAAAATTTATATAAAAATATTTAAATCATATTGACATGGGAATTTACTTTTGTTTTGTTTCTGCATTTTCCTTCTTATAATTTCCATAATAATTTCACATAAAAATAATATCTAATCATAAAAACTAGAAAATACTGAAAAATATTAATAAAAAATCTATCTTTAATTCTACCACCCAGTAGTAATAATAAGTACAATCTCTTTTTGTCTGGCAGTCTGTCTAAATATACTTGTCTGACTCTGTTAGCCATACTAGTAGTTTTCAACATTTCACATCTTAACTACCACCTGCTATCCTACTACTTGATCAAACAAGTAACGTGTCACTGCAACAGAAACAGCCCATTTTTTATAAGTATATTTATATTTTTACAAACATTGTGTTAGTGCCTTAACAATTGTTATAAAGACTTCATCCCCAACGCAGATGATTTCTGATCACTCCTGGTGACCCTTGGCCCACCAATTGAGAATGACTAGGTAGAACAGTCAGAATTTATGAGCAGAGTTGAAAGTCTGCATATGGCCTTAGATCTTACTAAACTAGTTTGGATGGCTTCAGATAGGCAGTACCATCTGTGCAGATTACCCTGTGGGCTAGAATAGATTTCTCAATTGTAATTTTGTGTCATTCATCATGTGACAGATTTGAATCCAGGAATATTTGTTTTCATGTAATTTTAGTGCATATATAATATGTAAGGACTTTTTCCCCCTGGTTGCTGAACACACTAGTCTTCCATGACTACTTTATTATTCCTACATCTGGGCAGTGATGATATCCTGTCAAATCTGCCTCCAAAATAACTCTTTACTGTGACTCTACCTCTTTGATCCTGAAGTTACTGCCTTATTTTAGGTTTTAATTTCTTTTCAGTGTATTATAGAAGTTTCCTGACTGACTGTATTCTTTCATTTCCCTCCTACTATGTACTATAGTATTTTCTTACCATTTGTGAAGTTTTTTCCTCCTTTTCTTCCTTCATTATAGTTTTTGACAATTTATTTTAGAAAATTTGAGAACTGTACATACACAGAAAATGAACTTTATTACATAGAAATAACCAGTGTGAGCATTATGGCATCTGACAGTTTTTCATTTTTTTCTGTGTATGTGTGGAATGCACACACACTTGTGCATGTATAGATACTTTTAAAATTAGGTCAATCTGGGCATTCTTTTACTTTTTAAAAACTCAGTATTCTATGAACAAGTTCCCATGTCTTTCTACTTTTTTTTGTTTATTTGTAATATAGATGTATTGTGAGTTACGCCTTCTTGCTGGACATTTAGATCTTTAGGTCCTTCTTTCCTTGCTTTCCTCCCTCCCTCCCTCCTTCTGTCCTTCCTTCTTTCCCTCCCAATACTGAAATATCCTTGTAGCTAAATTGCTTGGACAGATCAATAGTTATTCCTTAGGACAGTTGAGTAATGATTCTAAAATATCATAATCTCTGTTTTATATATTTTGTCTCTTTGTTTTGGTGGGTCTGGAATTTTTTATCCTGAAAGCTCTTCATTAGTCTGGCCCTTGCCTACCTTTCTGAACTAATCTTGTATCCTTTTATTATACCCTCCAGTTATACCAAAACATATGTGCTTTCTAAAGTGTGCCTTACTCACACTTACCTATTTGCCCTCTTTTCTTATCCACCCAGTAAATACTACTTAAGCCTTCCAGCCTAAACCTATGTGTGTTCTTGATTTCCCTAGGCAGTTAGGTGGCTCCTCCTTTTCATCTTGTGTGCACTTCTATTGGAATATTTCTAAAATTTTAGAGAATTGTTAGGTTGGTGCAAAAGTAGTTGCAGTTTTGTCATTAAAAGTAATAGCAAAAACCGCAGTTACTTTTGCATAGTCCCCTCTGCTAAGCTGTTTGAGTGCCTTCATAGCAGAGGTATTGTTCTAGTAATCTTTCTCTTTCCAGCACCTAACATATAATGGGTGCTTAATAAATGTTTGTTTAATAATTTTGAGATCTGGGAAAAGCAGATCTCTAAAATGACGTAAACAAATCAAATATACTTTTAAATTTACTCCAAAATACCCGGAAGAAAAAGTTACTTGATTGAAAAATATTAATGGGGAGTATAGCTACTATAGGTTTTAAAAAATAAATGTGTCATAAATGATTAAGAAAACATATAACAGCAATTTATGCCTGCATTTAATGTTGAAACTATAGTTTTATTAGCCTTAACATAATTTAAGTGAAATGAAAACTTTTTCCTTAAATTTTTATGTGAGCATGAATATTTAACTATTGTGTATCAACAAATATAGGAATAGTGTTTAAAATTTGAGTCATGTAATAGTATTTTTATAACTTAGCATATGAATATAATAAAAGTTGGACTGATTAAAGAATATTAGAAGCACATACAGTAATCATTGGGAAGGTAGAATGTTTGGAGACATGAAAGACTAACACCATGTTTCTGAAGAAAATGTTAATTGATGCCATATTAAATAACCCAGGATGATTGATCTGACCTTGTAATCATCTCTTTGTATCTTGAGATTTTGGCTTAATCATTCAAAATGATGGCTACTTTCTTTATCTTAAAGTTCTTCTGTCCAAAAAGCTCTAACTTCTTTCCCATTGTTTGTTTAAATGTTAGCTAGTTTAGTATTTTATAATTTCTTTTACACTGGATTAACCTATAGTATGCTACAATTAATAACTCGTGAGCATATATAGCAACTGTTTTGTGCTGGGAGCCTCTTAAGTCAGCTTTGTTTATCATTGTATTCTTAACACTTAGCACAGTTTCTTAGTGCTTGGCACTACATTATGATAGATTTACTAATTGGTATGTTGTAATATTTTTCCTCTGTTTCTTTTTTTTTTAAAGGAAATGTGGCTTTAGATAATCTACAGATAAAAGAAAATGCCCTGGTAAGTTTTTTTTTTAACTATGCTAATAACTCACTTAATTTGGTAAGTTCTTAGAAACCTTTGTTTACTAGGCATCTGATACCAGGTACTAGATAAAGTGATGGAATCACTCAAAGGATTACTTGTTTAACTATTTGCTGTTGGAAAGTCTGAGATTAAAGATTTAGAAATTGTTTCCCCTAATAATCAAAATAATATCTCTTGGAAACGGAGTGTTTCTCCTTAATCTAATTTGACTATATAGTTTTGTAGTTGACTTTTTCCCTATAGAAATATTTTCCTTCGGAAGTATCTTTACATATTTTTGAGCTAAATGAGGGCTTGATTTTAAATAACATAGCTAATAAATAATTATATTTTGGAAATATATTGACGGTCTAGCCTTATTATAGTAATATTAAGAGGTAAAATAGGATTTTCTGGACTCCAGCTCCAGAAAGTAATTTGTGTCATTTATTGTTGAGTTGAAAACAAGCAAAACAATGCCCTCCCCCGCCCAATTAGGTTTCTGTTTAGCTTATTCGGCTAAATGTGAGTTTATGAAGTCACTTAATGAGTTTATTGTTTAATTTTTACAGGTTTCTAACCTCTTATTTTAATTTTTTTAATTTTGTGAGTTGGAGTCTCAGTCTGTTGCCCAGGCTGGAGTGCAGTGGCATGATCTCAGCTCACTGCAACTTCCGCCTCCCAGGTTCAAGCAATTCTTCTGCCTCAGTCTCTCTAGTAGCTGGGATTACAGGCACGTGCCACCACGCCTGGGTAATTTTTGTATTTTTAGTAGAGATGGGGTTTTGCCGTGTTGGCCAGGCTGATCTCCCAACTCCTGACCTCAGGTGATCCACCTGCCTTGGCCTCCCAAAGTGTTGGGATTACAGGCGTGAGGCACTGCACCCAGCCTAACTTCTTAATTTCTTTGATCTTTTAGCATGAGTTTAATCATCTGTACAGTGGAGTTAATTATAAAGCAATATAATATCTCTGTGTCTTTGTGGCTTGAATAAGATGAGAAGCAGAGCCTGGCCCATAGTAGGTACTCAAAATATTTAAATATTTTTCTCTTTTTTATATAGGATGCTACAACTTTTTAAATTTTAAACAAAAATTTAGACCTTCTGATTCTGTTGTTATAGATTGAAATAGAGGTTTTTTTCCTCTATTTATGACAATATAAATAGAATTGTAGTGACAGGATATATATCTGACATACTTAGGAGACAAATTATTTGAACTCTGTTTTAGCCTAATTCAAGTTTTGGTTGTAATTAAATATAATAAACTCTTTTGTAATTTATATTTTTAATTCAAAGTAGCTTCTTTCCCCAGTTAAACCAAATTGATGAGTTTTTAATTTGATATGGGTTCTTTACATTTATTTTGTGTGAAAATTATTTCAGGAGGATTAAAATGAGCATGAGACCACCTTTTTGTAGTTTGCCGTTTGTATCCTGTATAATGTGAAGTCCCTTGAATTTATCTTTCCTGTCCTCCCGGAGGACAGAGCTGCTCTTATTGGCAGCAAAGAATTTTTTTTTTTTTTTTTGGTCTGAAAAAGACTTTTTATCTAAAGCTGTTATAATAGTATTCTGTTCAATTCCTGTTTACATAGAGTTCAGACGTAATCAGATGATCAGGTAAATTGATTATTTCAGTTAATTATTACCTATATTTTGGTGGTCAGATTTTTATAGTGTTAGTATATATTAAGTTACAGCTAACAGAAAGGCTGTACTGACTGGTTTAATTTTTAATAATTCTAAAGACTCAGATGATCATTATGGATATCAGTTATTGTTTAGTATTCTTTGAACAAAAAAGGTTATTTGAACTTTCTAGTTGTTTGGAATATAGGTAGGTGAAAGTTTATTATTATTTATTGGTACCTGTCTGTAACTTATCTAAATGAAATGCTAATTTGGTAAATAATACATTGGGAATCTAGCTTTTCTAAGATTTTTTAAATTTATTCATTTACTAAATATTTGAGAGAGAACTGTTGTTCAGTATTGTTTTCAACTAATTTATGCAAAAAGACTCTTCTTTTTTCTGTTCTAGTATTTCAGATAAACATTGTCCATGTGTTTAAATTCATTTGATTTGATTTTAATTTCCATTTGATTTGGTTTACTTAAAACAAGTAACCAGTTTACCTGGTTATTTACAAATATATTTTTGTAAATATATATTTATTTTTTGTAAAAAAAATTTTTTGTAAAAAACCAGTTTACCTGGTTATTTATTTTTCTATTTTTCCTATTTATCATTTTGTTTCTCTTGTGAATTCTTTCTTTAAAGTCAAAGCTTAAGTTATAAATTTTTTTTTGAGGCAGAGTTTCGTCTTGTCACCCAGGCTGGAGTACAATGGCGCGATCCCAGCTCACTGCAACCTCCGCCTCCTGGGTTCAAGCGATTCTCCTGCCTCAGCCTCCTGATTAGCTGGGATTACAGGCACCCGCCACCCCACACCAGGCTGGAGATGGGGTTTTCCCATGTTGGCCAGGCTGGTCTCGGACTCCTGACCTCAGGTGATCCACCCTCCTCAGCTTCCCAAAGTGCTGGGATTACAGGTGTGAGCCACCACACCAGGCCTATAAAACGTTTTTTTGGGCTATAAAACATGTCCTTTATGAATTATTCAAATATGGAAAATTTGTTTTTTTTTTTCTTTAGAGATGTGTATTTAAATGATCACACAAAAGTTATTTTTGGGTTGGCTTAATAATTTAAGATGTCCTTTACATTTTCTCTTTCTTCTGAAGAGTGAATTGGATGTTCCTTTTAAAGTCAAGGCTGGCCAAATTGGTAAGTACTTTAGTCTTCATTTGAATTGTTCTTAGTCCTTTCCGTTTTCTATTTTGCTTGTGTTATTTAACATAAAAAAATTTGACTAAAAGTATGAGAGTTTTTTTTTTTTGCGTATGTTAATTAGAGCTTGTCGAGTTCTGAGCCTAATGTATATTACATATAAAACGTACATACTTCTATTTTTTTTATGACGAGGTAGAAAATAGAAGGGTATTTGAACTGCAATTGCAGTCTTCAGGCTTTGGTTCCACCACACAAAACATACCTTCATTTTCAAATTAGATTTCCAAGTTTTATGTGCTTTTTCTTTAAATGTGAAAGTAGTATAATTTGCAAACTCTAGTAGATAAACTGTAAATGTAGCTTATTTCCTTCATGTTTTGTTCAACCATTTTCACTTGATATATTATGCAGCAATGTGGTATGGAGGATATGTTTTGGTAAGTACAAAGTCTCTCTCTTTGCAGTTAAACTCCTACACTTAAGACCATCTCTAAGTAAATATATATCTTTGTTGAATACATTTTTCAATAGGAAATTTAATCTACCAAGTCTTCCCATCTAGTCTATGCTATCTGGTTTTTATTTTTATTTATTTATTTAATTTATATTTTTTAAAATTTTGGATTTAGGTTATTGATGTGTATGTTTGTTACATGGATATATTGAGTGACAGTAGGGATTGGCTTTCTAGTGCATCTGTCACTCAGATATTGAACTTTGTATCCAGCAGGTAATCTTTCAACCCTCACCCCCCTCCTTCAATCTCTACCCCTTTTTGGAGTCCCCAGTGTCTATTATTTCCATTAAATTTTTTTGTTTTTAATTTTTGTGGATACATAGTAGGTATATATATTTATGGTGTACATGAGATATTTTGATACAGGCATGCAGTGTGTAATAATCACATCAGGGTAAATGAGGTTTCTATCACCTCAAAGTATTTATCCTTTCTTTGTGTTACAAATAATCTAATTAATACTCTTTTAGTTATTTTTAAATGTACAATCAATTATTGTTGACTGTAGTCACCCTATTGTGCCATCAAATACTAGGTCTTATTCATTTCATCTAACTATGTTTTTATATTCATTAACCATCCTCCCCTGTTACCCTTCCCAGCCTCTGGTAACCATTGTTCTACTCTCTGTCTCCATGAGTTCAATTGTTTTAATTTTTAGTTCCCACAAATAAGTGAGAACATGTGAAGTTTGTCTGTTTGTGCCTGGCTTATTTCACTTAACATAATGACCTCCAGTTCCATCCATGCTGTTGCAAATGGCAGGATCTCATTCCTTTTTATGGCTGAATAGTACTCCACTGTGTATATGTACCACATTTCTTTAACCATTCATCTATTGATGGACACTTAGGTTGCTTCCAAATCTTGGCTATTGTGAATAGTGCTGCATTAAACATGAGAGTACAGGTATATCTTCAATATACTGATTTCCTTTCTTTTGGATATATACCTCGCAGTGGGATTGGTGGATCATACGGTAGTTCTGTTTTTTTTTTTTTGTTTTTTTTTTGTTGTTTTTTTTTAGATGGAGTCTTACTCTGTTGCTCAGGCTGGAGTGCAGTGGCACGATCTCGGCTCACTGCAAGCTCCGCCTCCCAGGTTCACACCATTCTCCTGCCTCAGCCTCCTAAGTAGATGGCACTACAAGCACCTGCCACCATGCCCGGCTACTTTTTTGTATTTTTAGTAGAGATGGGGTTTCACTGTGTTTGGATGGTCTCGATCTCCTCACTTTGTGATCTGCCTGGCTCAGCCTCCCAAAGTGCTGGGATTACAGGCGTGAGCCTCTGAGCCTGGCTGGTAGTTCTATTTTTAGTTTTTTGAGGAACCCCCAAATTGTTCTTCATAGTGGCCGCAATAATTTACATTGCCACCAACAGTGTACAAGGTCTTCCTTTTCTCTTCATCCTTGCTAACATTTGTTATTGTCTATCTTTTGGATAAAAGCCATTTTTACTGAGTTGAGATGGTATCTCATTATAGTTTTGATTTACATTTCTCTGATGATGTGATGTTGAGCACCTTTTCATATACCTGTTTGCCATTTGTATGTCTTCTTTTGAGAAATGTCTATTCAGATCTTTTGCCCATTTTTAAATCAGATTATTAGATTTTTTCCTATAGAGTTGTTTGAGTTCCTTATGTGTTCTGGTTATTAATTCCTGTCTCTTGCTTGCCCTGGCAATGTCTCTGTAGAGCTCAGTATACTGCAAAGGCCACTATGCATCTTTATGTCTATGTGTACCCATTGTTTAGCTCCTACTTACAAGTGAGAACATACAATATTAGATTTTCCACCTTTGAGTTGATTTACTTAAGATAATGGCCTCCGGCTTCATCCATCTTGCTGTAGGGGACATGATTCCATTCTTTTTTTATGGCTGCATACTATTCCATGATATATATGTATCACATTTTCTTTATCCAGTCCACTGTTAATGGACACTTAGGTTGGTTGCGTGACTTTGCTATTGTGGATAGTGCTGTTTAAACATATGAGTGCAGGTGTCTTTTTATATAATGATTTATTTTCTTTTGGGTACTCAGTAGTGGGATTGCTGTTTCTATTTTTAGTTCCTTGAGATATCTCCATACTGTTTTCCATAGAGGTTAAACTAGTCTACATTTTCACCAACAGTACACAACTGGTCCCTTTCCTCTGTATCCATGCCAATATCTGTTATTTTTTGGTTTTTTAATAATAACCTTTCTAGCTGGTGTAAGATAGTATCTCAGTGTGGTTTAAATTTGTATTTCTCTGATAATTTGTTATGTTGAACATTTTTTCATGTGTTTGTTGGCTGCTTGTATTTCTTGAGAAATGTTTGTTTATGTACTTTGCTGTTTTTAATGGGGTTGTTTTCTTCTTGTTCAGTTGTTTGAGTTGCTTGTAGATTCTGGATATTTGTCCTTTGTTGGAGGCATAATTTGCAAATATTTTCTACCCTTCTATAGGTTGTCTGTTTACTCTGTTGATTATTTCTTTTGCTGTGCAGATGATTTTTATTTTTACTTTTTAAAAATTAATTAATTAAAACAGAACCAAAGAAAAGAACCACATGATTATCTCAATAGATGCAGAAAAGGCTTTTGACAAAATTCAACAGCCCTTCATGCTAAAAACGCTCAATAAATTCGGTATTGATGGAACGTACCTCAAAATAATAACAGCTATTTATGACAAACCCACAGCCAATATCATATTGAATGGGCAAAAACTGGAAAAATTCCCTTTGAAAACTGGCACAAGACAGGGATGCCCTCTCTCACCACTCCTATTCAACATAGTGTTGGAAGTTCTGGCTAGGGCAATTAGGCAAGAGAAAGAAATCAAGGGTATTCAGTTAGGAAAAGAAGAAGTCAAACTGTCCCTGTTTGCAGATGACATGATTGTATATTTAGAAAACCCCATTGTCTCAGCCCAAAATCTCCTTAAGCTGATAAGCAACTTCAGCAAAGTCTCAGGATACAAAATTAATGTGCAAAAATCACAAGCATTCTTATACACCAGTAACAGACAAACAGAGAGCCAAATCAGGAATGAACTTCCATTCACAATTGCTTCAAAGAGAATAAAATACCTAGGAATCCAACTGACAAGGGATGTAAAGGACCTCTTCAAGGAGAACTACAAACCACTGCTCAGTGAAATAAAAGAGGACACAAACAAATGGAAGAACATACCATGCTCATGGATAGGAAGAATCAATATCATGAAAATGGCCATACTGCCCAAGGTAATTTATAGATTCAATGCCATCCCCACCAAGCTACCAATGAGTTTCTTCACAGAATTGGAAAAAACTGCTTTAAAGTTCATATGGAACCAAAAAAGAGCCCGCATCTCCAAGACAATCCTAAGTCAAAAGAACAAAGCTGGAGGCATCACGCTACCTGACTTCAAACTATACTACAAGGCTACAGTAACCAAAACAGCATGGTACTGGTACCAAAACAGAGATATAGACCAATGGAACAGAACAGAGTCCTCAGAAATAATACCACACATCTACAGCCATCTGATCTTTGACAAACCTGAGAGAAACAAGAAATGGAGAAAGGATTCCCTATTTAATAAATGGTGCTGGGAAAATTGGCTAGCCATAAGTAGAAAGCTGAAACTGGATCCTTTCCTTACTCCTTATACGAAAATTAATTCAAGATGGATTAGAGACTTAAATGTTAGACCTAATACCATAAAAATCCTAGAGGAAAACCTAGGTAGTACCATTCAGGACATAGGCATGGGCAAAGACTTCACGTCTAAAACACCAAAAGCAACGGCAGCAAAAGCCAAAATTGACAAATGGGATCTAATTAAATTAAAGAGCTTCTGCACAGCAAAAGAAACTACCATCAGAGTGAACAGGCAACCTACAGAATGGGAGAAAATTTTTGCAATCTACTCATCTGACAAAGGGCTAATATCCAGAACCTACAAAGAACTCAAACAAATTTACAAGAAAAAAACAAACAACCCCATCAAAAAGTGGGCAAAGGATATGAACAGACATTTCTCAAAAGAAGACATTCATACAGCCAACAGACACATGAAAAAATGCTCATCATCACCGGCCATCAGAGAAATGCAAATCAAAACCACAATGAGATACCATCTCACACCAGTTAGAATGGCGATCATTAAAAAGTCAGGAAACAACAGGTGCTGGAGAGGATGTGGAGAAATAGGAACACTTTTACACTGTTGGTGGGATTGTAAACTAGTTCAGCCATTATGGAAAACAGTATGGCGATTCCTCAAAGATCTAGAACTAGATGTACCATATGACCCAGCCATCCCATTACTGGGTATATACCCAAAGGATTCTAAATTATGCTGCTATAAAGACACATGCACACGTATGTTTATTGCAGCACTATTCACAATAGCAAAGACTTGGAATCAACCCAAATGTCCATCAGTGACAGATTGGATTAAGAAAATGTGGCACATATACACCATGGAATACTATGCAGCCATCAAAAAGGATGAGTTTGTGTCCTTTGTAGGGACATGGATGCAGCTGGAAACCATCATTCTTAGCAAACTATCACAAGAACAGAAAACCAAACACCGCATGTTCTCACTCATAGGTGGGAACTGAACAATAAGATCACTTGGACTCAGGAAGGGGAACATCACACACAGGGGCCTATCATGGGGAGGGGGGAGGGGGGATGGATTGCATTGGGAGTTATACCTGATGTAAATGATGAGTTGATGGGTGCTGACGAGTTGATGGGTGCAGCACAGCAACATGGCACAAGTATACATATGTAACAAATCTGCACGTTATGCACATGTACCCTAGAACTTAAAGTATAATAATAATAAATAAATTAAAAAAAATAAATAAATAAAAAAATTAATTAATTAATTTAGAGACAAAGTCTTGCTCTGTTGCCCAGCCTGGAATGTAGTGGCACAGTCATGGCTTACTGCAGCCTCAACTTCCTGGGCACAAGGGATGCTCTCACCTCTGCCTCCCAAGTTGCTGAAACGACAGGTGTGTCACCATGCTTGGCTCATATTTGTGTTTTTTGTAGAGATAGGGTTTCATCATGTTGCCCATGCCATTCTTGAACTCCTTGGCTCAAGTGATCTACCTGCCTTGGCCTCCTAAAATGCTGGGATTACAGGTGTGAGTCACTACGCTTGGCCTAGAAGCTTCTTAGTTAAGTCCCGTTTGTTTAATTTTGTTTTTCTTGCATTTGCTTTTAGGGTCTTTGTCATAAATTCGTTGCCTAGACTGATGTCTGGATGAGTTTTTCCTCTAGGAATTTTATAGTTTCAGGTTTTATATTTAGGATTTACTTTAAAAAATATATAAATTACAACCCAAAATGACTTACTCTTATAATTTTACTTATGCTACATCCTTTCTTCCAACTTCATCACCCTGCTATTACACCATATCACTTTTATTCTTTATTCAATATTCTGTATTATAGGAAGGCTTTGTCTTTCACTACTCTAGCATCTCTTAGCAATTATTTGGATAATTCTGTTTGGGTCATTTTATATGACATATATGTTTCCTTTTAATATATAAGAATATTTTTATGTTTTTGTCTCTTGAAACAGGATAAATTTTCTTAGATGAAAAGCAAGTTTAGGCATGTGGCATCTTTTTTGTTTGTTAAATAGCTCTGAATGTGGTGGTGATGTGTTGCAGTGCTCTAGAAGTATTGTGGCCCTATATGCTTAACTGAAATCCTAGAATATAGAAGTTGTAGCCATTCATTTGTTATTTTACTTTTGAAATATTTATGCACGTGTTATGTACAAGACTATGCAAGTGCTGTGAGAGATGCAAGGATGAAGGTGATATCTTTGTCTTCAAGGAAGTTATAGACATCTAAAATTAGAACATAGATGAAAAGTGTATTTCCAGTGTCTTGGATGAATTATAGCTGACTACAGAAATTTTGCATTACTTATTATATTCTTACAACTAGATTTATATTTTGGAGGAGGTTTCTAATGGTTCAGAATTTGTTGTTTTTGCTTTTAAAGTACACAAAGACTTAATGACTTCCTTCAGTGCTACCCAGTGAGTTAATGAGAGACCCTTTACAAATAAGCATGCAAAGTATATTGTCTTTATAACTACCTTTTTTTTTGGTTTACAGAGCATTTATATTAGTTGTTAAATTTCTCCTTAGGTTAAAATATTGTATCTAACCTATAGGGTCAGTGTGGCTTAATTAAGCTCAAGTGTGATTTGTTTTTCTAAGAGCTAGACATATTTGTGGGTGCCCTTGAGTTACCCTTTTTCTTAAAAATTTAAAAAATTTAAAAAATTTCCTCATCTATAATAGGAGGGGGTAATATATAAAAAACACAATTCTAGGAAGTTTATGAGGGATGGGGGGATAATGAGTATAAATGTAGAGAAGAAAAGGTTTAGGGAACAGACAGTCCCTTTCTGGTGTGCTAGTTAAAGGGACATTTCCCACTTTTTCAATCTTATGCTCACCAAGAAGGCAATCAAATAAATTTTGTTAGGAGATTTTGAGATAATTACAAATGTAACAGTACCCATTGTAAATATAAAATCATTGGACTTAGAAATGACCCAGAACGTTGTAGACTTCCCTTGACATGCAAGCCATTTAAGAAACTCAGCAGGTTTACAAGCTGAAGAGAATTGAAAATCTAAATGGAGAAATCATTTGATATTTTAACCTTGGGAATAGATACCTGGTAAAACTGGCTTTCCTACATATCCATCTAGGTGACCTCAAATATTCTGTCTTACATTGCATTATTTTATTTTCTCTTTAGTTTGTTATACTGTTTTTCAGTTCTTTGAACTTTGAGCATTTTCATTTAAAAATGATTTTAAATGAAAAACCACCAGTGATTCTGGTGGTGTAAGCAACTTAATTACTCACATACAAGCATGACTTAGTTGAATCAAATTCTTTTCTTCTGAAAATCTTGATTAGTATCTCTGAGAGACCTATAGATTTTAAATATAATTTTAAAAATTATGATGAAGGAAGGTATTTTATTTTGGAACATGTAAAACTTATGTGTAGGAAAGGTTTGGATAGAATTGCTATAGCAAGGCAGATTGGGGACATTTTGCTGCCTGGAGACCTGGAAAGAGGGAATACTAGAGATTAGGGAAAGAAACATGGAAAGATTTGATAGGTTTTGCTTGTTTCAAAATTTAGCTTAGAGCATGCCCCTTTGGTCTTCTCTTGTCTGCCCTGAACTGGCTTTTCCCCCATAAAACCCCAAACTTGGGACAGTAATGGATTAGGGCCATAGTTCATCTGTGTCCCGAGTAAAAGTTTTTGTGGGCTCATCTCAGGAGGACCTGACATGAATACCATTGTTTCCAAGAGAGAACTTGGAGTTCTGTCTTCTAAGTGATTTATAAGTAAGATATTTGGAATATAACTGGTCTGAGTTGCCTGTGACTCCTAACACTATTCATAGTACAGTATGCCTTGCCTTTAGAGCTAGCCTCTTCCTGTTGTGACAATTTGATATGCTGTCAAAATTCCCTTTGCACAAAGTTCCTTTGTATCTCTTCTCTGTGTTACTGCTTCAATTCCTGGTAGCTTGTACAGATATTATTTTACTGTTGATCTGTAAAGATTTATTTGTTGATGTGGATAGAAGAGCATGTGCAATATTAAGACTATCAGCTGTTGTTGTGCACCAAATCTGGTTCAGCATCCTTACTAATAATCTCATCACTGCTTAACTCACTAGATAGACTTAAGCAATTAATTTAACTTATCTAGGGCTGACTTTGCTTTTTTTCAGGATTGAAATAATAGCTGACTTATTCATTTTACAGTTTTTGAATATTAAATGGATAATGGTTATCAAAATATTTTATATCGAAAAATAGAGATTACAATGTGAATATTCACTTAATAGTAATATTATGTGGAAAAGACCTTTGTAAACTTTAGTGTTGGAGTTTTTTCATTTTTTCTGAGTGATATACATACTATATGCATGAAGAGTTTTTTATGCTTTTTCTCTTAATGGAAAGTGAGAAATTTATGTCTTCTTGAGCAGTCAAGTAAAAATTTAAGGTTGAAATTATGTTTCTTTAGATAAATTAACTTTGAAGATTCCTTGGAAAAACCTTTATGGAGAAGCAGTTGTTGCGACTCTAGAAGGATTATACCTGCTTGTTGTCCCTGGAGCAAGTACGTTATTTTAGGTTATAACCATTCAGTAACATCACATTGAAGTTAAATTGTTACCTGAGTTAAGTATTTTAATACATGTATTTATTAAGGTAGAAGGTAATTTAAATAAATGAATCATACATAGATGCACATATATGCATACATTTTATATATATATGCACATATGTCTTACCACATTTGTGTATAAAGTATTTTTGTTGTTGAAAATTTAATTCATTTTTGCAATTTATTCTATTTTCTATGAGTACTTGTTTTGCAACTAAGGCTTCCTGTTGAGCTGCATTAGGCAGATTTACTGATAATAAATGAAGTAAAATAAATTTTTTTTTTTTTTTTTGAGACAGAGTCTCGCTGTGTCGCCCAGGCTGGAGTGCAGTGGCCGTATCTCAGCTCACTGCAAGCTCCGTTCCCCGGGTCCACGCCATTCTCCTGCCTCAGCCTCCCGTGTAGCTGGGACTACAGGCGCCCGCCCCTACGCCCGGCTAATTTTTTTTTTGTATTTTTAGTAAAGACGGGGTTTCACTGTGTTAACCAGGATGGTCTTGATCTCCTGACCTCGTGATCTGCACGTCTTGGCCTCCCAAAGTGCTGGGGTTACAGGCGTGAGCCACCGCGCCCGGCCTAAATAAATCTTTAAAAATATCCTGATGTGTTAATCTCCAGATTTCAAGATTCAAAAATTTATTTTTTTCCTATTTTGTTGCTTCTGATTTTGAGTGAATGTTCTCTCAAAAATGTGTAAAATTGGTAATTTTTTCCTTAGAAATGATAGTATTTTAATTTTTAATGTTTTAAAGTAGTGATGTTTAATATCTTTACTTTTTTCATGTATAGTAACAATATAATGTTAAGAAAAGTTTGGATGTTTTAGGGAAAAATTGAGAATGTACAATTGCTCAACCATTGTACAAATAAAATTTTATTTTGCTCTTCAGTCTTTAGCTTATGCATACCTGATTTTCAGTAGCTGTTACCACATTATATATACAACATTGACTTGGCCTTTTATTATATACATTTTTGATATGTTTCACAGCTTTCACGGTGACAGTGACAGTTTTGAAAGGCTTTATGGTATTCTGTTGTGGGCTACCTACTATTTTTTGCTTTATAGTTAATACTAAAAATACTAGTCAATACTATAGTCAGTAGTATAAATATGTCTTTGTAGTCAATACTATAAATACGTCATTATAGATCTTTTTTATTCTTTTGTGTTATTTCCTTAGATTGCATAATCAGAAATGACGTTACTAGATAAAAAGAGCTTATGTATTTTATGATTGTTGACACATATTCTGAATTACTTTCTGAAAGTTTAAAAAATCAATCTATATTGGTCCCAGGTAGTATTGGATATTAAATTATTTTGTAGTTACTCAAAATTTACCATTGACAGAGCAATATTCTGGTGTACTTTCTGTCTTACTTCTGTTTCTACTTATTATCTTTGTTCTCACCCTTCTCCTCTCTCCCTTTTTCCTACCTGCCTTTCTACCTGTAATTTCTTTTCCTCCCTCCTCCTTTTTGTATTTAAGTTTTTTGTAAGTGAATAGGAATAATTTATGTTTAAACATTTCATAAAACTAAAAATGTGAAAGTATTTTTGTATTGCAGCAAGATTACACACTTACACAATCATAATGCGGCTGAACTTTTTCCGTTTATTTATGAATTCCATTTATTTTTGTGTGAATTGACTATATTTTTAGGTATTAAGTATGATGCTGAAAAAGAAGAAAAATCCTTGCAGGATGTTAAACAGAAAGAGCTATCCCGAATTGAAGAAGCCCTTCAAAAAGCAGCAGAAAAAGGTAAAAAGTTTGTTTGAGATAAACTTAGACATACCTGTATTTTAGATATATTTAATATCCTTTAAAGAAGATGCTTTCATAAGCCTTCGTAAGTTGAAGTTCTAAAGAAATACATTTTTTTTAAATCTCAAAATATTGGTTATATTTTCATGACTCACTTTTAGGAAAAAGTAATTGCCTTTTTTTCTGTAAGTGTTTTATCATGTTGCTAATTTGATTTTTCCACCTTTCTTCATTAGTCATTTTTATTGTGCTACTTTAGGAGACTTTCCAAATTTTCTGTATTTGCATGTCTGTTTATTTTGGGCAAATGTTAACAGTTTCTTTGTGTGCATGTTTACCTGTGTTCTTGCTGGATAATGAGGTTAAGCATAATGCTATAGTGAAATTATGTTTAGAGGAAATGCTGCTGTAATTCTAGTCCTAGCTGCCTCCCTTCGCATTGTACAGGATATTAAAAAAAACAAAAAAAACAAAGCAAAACTTGATTCTTCAGGTTTTAACATTTTAACATCTTGTCTTACGTTTACATTTTTGTTTTTATCTAAAAATAAATCTGATGACTTTGATTTGGTTTATAGAGCAAGAACAAGGATATGATGAAAAAGAGTAGTCTATAGGGTGATGAATTGAAGGACTTTTCCAGACTTCTAATGTTTATCTCTTTTAAGTCAATTAGCAATTGCTGATTAGGGTATATGAGTTATTAGCATTTTATATAATTTTTGTGTTGTTTGGTGGCATGTGTATATATTTTTATGATGAAGATGGTCTCTCTCGAAAGATAAAGCAAATATTGAGTTAGAAATGATGTTAATTATATTTAGATATAAGATTTCTTTTCCTAGCTTAAGCTGTTATCATTTAATTGAATCAATTAGAAATCTTTTTTAAAAATAGCTTGTTCCTTAAAGTTTTTAATCAAAGTTTTAAATTCTTGCTCCAAGTATTTTTTTCTTAAGCAGAAATATTGATTCTTTTATTAAAAGTTACTAAACTATTTAAATGTACAGAGGTTACCATAATGGAAGAAATTTTCTAAAAGCCTCAACATTTTTTTCCCTTATTTTTCACACATAAGCTTATTTTGTCTTTCTGCTGAAGCTTAAGTATCTATATTTTTAGGAAAACAGTTTTCTTTATTTGTATTACTTTTGCATGGCAAAAAAGCAAGCCGAGAATGGTTTTGTTTCATGACAATTAAGTGTGATTTTTTTCTTTATATTCAGTTTTGGCTAATATATGTAAAAGCAGTCCTATAAAAATGAAGACTAGAGCACTAGAATTTCATTTTTTTCTTGAAACTATTCAGATTAGGATATTAACATATGTATATTCGTCATTAGGTATATATTGATGTGTATTTAGATATTGATATAACATATAATTATGCATTTATCATTTACAATTACATAATGTTACATATATTATTTAGAAACAAATCTTAAATTCCTCCTTTTTGAAAGATGGAGCATAGCTTGTATTTGTCTAAAGAGTATTTTAGTGTTTTCAGTCACCTGTAAGAAAAGGCGTGGTATGTAGTCTCGTTTGTTTTCATGATTGACAGTTTAATTGGTAATGTGATTATTATGCACACATTTTGTACTCAGACTTAGGAAATTTTGACTCCTGGGTCTTCAGTGCTGAGAAAACAGACATTTGGGTCTGACAAAGAGGCTATTATGAATGATTTGATATAAAGGATGTACATCTGTAATATTAATTTTGTATAAATAGAACTGTTAGGCGTATGCTGTATATAGTAATGACATTGTAGCTTCTTGGATGATAAAATTTAAGTTTTTTTCATATAGAATTAAAATTCAAAAAGTAAAACTGTTTTAACACTCAGTTTTAACATGTTATATTTGTCAAAAAAAGTTTTGAGACTAAAAGATGAATTCAGGAATTGGGAAGTATATTTAAATTTTCTTTCTTAACTGTTAAGAAACACATTTAATAATGTTGCAGTATTATTTTCTCATTTCTATGGATATGGGTCACATCTTCAATAATATTATTCACGTGAATGATAGAGGACAACCCTGACCTTTATTTTACCATTATTAATAGTTATTAATTATACTTTATTTTTCTACTTGTTTGTTAATATTAAAAGCACAAAAGCACCATTGCACATGTATAGGGACTCAGAGAGGGAAGGAGAGGAGATGATTCCACTCTAAGCAGCAGATGATAAAAATGAAAACAAAATTATCTTGCTAATCTGCTCATAAAAAGGATTTTGACTTAGCTTGTTTTATTTGGTAAAAATATACCGTTTCCCACTATCATATAGGAATAAAATAAAATTGAAATAAAACTGTGAGTTCATTTCTAGAAAATTTGCTTAAATGTAAAAATAAACTCTGATATTTTTATCCTTTTATTTCATTGGAGTGAGTTTATTTTTCTGGAAGGCTATCATAAAGAGAAAGATTAAATTACCAGTAAGGCCAAAAGATTCGCAAATGCTAGATTCTATACTTAAGGTGTTGGATTTTATCAAAGTAATATGTACACACACTTGAAAATCAATACTTTTGGCAAAGGGACATGATAAAAAATGGCAGTCCCTTGTTTCATCCTTTGCTACTCTCCACACCAACTCCTTTGAGTTAGTAATATTTTTTACCAATGTTAACATTGTGTCATTAACCTAGTTCATTAATATAGGGCATTATCTGGGACTTCCTGTTATGGTAGTCCAGGAGTGTACTTCTCTTACTATCTCCTTGCACCCTGAATTCTCCTTCCCATTTTCTCATGATATGGATATATCGTAATTTTTGGCCAATTACTAGTCACTACTTAGATTACTATGACAATGCGATTATTATTCACTGCGCAGGTCAGATGATATGTGTGTTAGGCAGTTTTTGCATTGCTATAAAGGAATACCTGAGACTGGATAATTTATGAAGAAAAGAGTTTTAATTGGCTCACAGTTCTGTAGGCTGTATAGGAAGCATGGTGCCAGCACTTGCTCCTGGTGAGGGTCTCAGGAAGCTTTTAGTCATGGCAGAAGGTGAAGTGGAAGTAGGCATGGACCCACCCCCATGATGTAGTCACTTCACATGAGGCCCCACCTCCAACACTGGGAGTCACATTTGAACATGAAATTTGAAGGGGACTAATATCCAAATCATATCAATGTACTACGACTGTATTTCCTTTCTTATACAACCTTTTGTTTTTCTTGAATTTGTAAATGCTGCTTTCTTATTTGCTTAGTCTTCTATGTAAATTTATCTTTAATTCTGTTTCACATGCTACATGAAATTTGTCTGCTATATGAGTATTGATAGTGTTTTCCAATCGTGTAAACCCATCTATTGGTACTGTCTACCACCCTGTTGTCTCCTGGAGTTCCCCCTCTGAACTGATCGTTTTTTAGACCAGCTGCACAGTTGTCATCTTAGGACTGGTCTTAATTGCTCATTTATATTTAATTTCATGTTTCCCGGGCCCTTTGCCTTTTTTGCTTCCTTAGTATACTCATTTGTTTTCCTAGAGCACATCTAGAAGCTTTTAAGAATTGATGCACTGGATATAATTTCGAAAATTCTTTCAAGGCTGAATGTCTTTGTGTTTTACTTCTACAGACTTGTTTGATTTGTCTGAGGTTAGAATGCTAGGTTAAATATTAGAATTTTGAAGGCAATGTTTTCTAGCTTCCAGGCTCTTTTGAAAAAAGTCTGATGCCAGTCTACAAGCAGAAAAATTAGAGAGTCCTTGGACCTTCCTGTCAAAGACCTTACATTTTAATTGAGCAAATAAGAAATTTGCATAATAATAAGCAAGAGAAAGTGTTGAGTCCCATCAGGGAAACACAGACAGTTTTATGGGAGTTCAGAAAGAACATGTCATATTCAGCCAAAGAGATCAGGGTAGACACTGTGAAGGTGTATATTTCAACTGGATTTAAAGGATGGATCTGCAGAAAGGAGAGAAGGCATAGGTAGAGGAGACAGTGAAGGTGTGAATCATAGAGCATCTGTGGGGTCAGCTAACAGTTTGGGAGTCCGATAGAGAGTAGTTGGATGTAGGGTTGGAAAGCTAAGTTTAGGTCAATTTTAAGAGATTTGCATGCTCTGATGATGTTAGTGGTAATGACAGTGAAAGTAGCTGACGTTTATTGAGCATTTACTATTCACCAGTCACTCTCCAAAATACTTTATATGAATTAAGTGAAAGTTAAATAACTTGTTCTAGGTCACACAGTTAGAAAATAGTAGAGCTAGAATTTGAACCTGTTCTGGCTCTAGATCTTGTATTCTTAACCCTGTACAATGTGAACTTTCATCTGTAGCCAGCCGGGGAGTAAGTATTCCTTTTTTTTTTCTTTAAGAGTCCAAGGAATGACATGATCAGAGCTATGATTTAAGAAAGTTAAACTTGCAGTGTTGTCTAGAATAGACTGGATTTGGAGAACGAAGTGGAAGATGCTATCTAGCCATCATTAATGAGAATGGATATAAAGGATTCAGACAGTATATCTAAAGGGACCAGATCACACTAAAGTAAGATGAGGTCATTTCAGCCGACTCTAAAATTACTGTGAAGTATCACAGTAATATTTTATTCTGAAAATGGGCAAAATGGCATGCAAAAAGAGACCAAAAATAGCGGATTTTTGCACTGTTTGAAAACTTGTCAAAAATTTCAGTGAACCATTAGCTGTAATTGATATTTACCTACCTCACATAATTTGAAATGATTACTATAATTTTAATTGTTAAGAAGTTTGTGTGTTGAAAGAACGAAAATGGTGTCACTGTGAGTATTTCCTTAGAAATAGTTTTGGTGTCACCAAATTTTAATTATCCCGTTACATGATTTCTAATTATTTGAAATTAAATTTAGGTATATTTTACATGTGAAATTAAAGGTGTCTTTAAATTGCTTTGCATTTTGGTTATTGCTGCCATGTGGATGCAGGCACACATTCAGGGGAGTTCATATATGGCTTGGAAAACTTTGTTTACAAGGACATCAAGCCTGGTGGGTATGCATGATTAATTATATTCAACTACATAAACATTTTCTTGTGTATGCTTGTGCTTTTGGTGGAGTCCATTTGATGGCATGCCATCCTTTTAGAAAATATGGAAATGTAATTTGTGTTTTCCCCCTTTACTATTATTTCCTTTTCCTCACCTGTAGTCATTTATTCATTCACTAAATATTTGAGTGTCTTCTTGTGGCAATCACTGTACTGGATGATGCTGGATGTTTGTAGGGTAAACAAACATGATTCACTGTTCTTACGAAGCTTAGAGTATGATCTACAGATAACTTCCAGATTTGGGTTACCCTTTTGACTTTAGTTCTAGAGTTCATTAGTTTCTGAATTAAGCAGTTCCTCTCTGATAGTGGTGGTTTTGGAATGTAAAAAGCAATAAAGTGGATTTTTTCTTTTGAATTCAGAACCTTGACAGGAGATGTTCCTCTGAGCTTTAATTTGTTTCACCTCTGTTGTAGCTCTGGAGGTACCTCTAGACTACTGTCCTGTACAACATATTGAAATTTCAAGCTTCGCAAAAGGCAAATTAAAGGCTTACTGTTTGTATTAGTATTTATAATATGTTTCTTTTATATACTAGGAAATCTACCAAATACATTAAAATAATACTCCTTAGTATTTTACATAATCTGATTTGTTAAACTTTTTGTTTTATATCATACTTCAAGAGCTGTTATATTAACTCAATCAAACTTAAAATTTGTTTTGATTAAATGGCAATTGGGTCTATATCTTGAAATTTATAAACAATAAGCATCATGTTAGAATTATCTCTGTAGCTGGGAACTTTAATATGTTGATTCATGTGACCAATGGAAGAGAAATTTTCATGACAGACTTCACAGCATTAGGTGAAATTACCCTGAAAGCAGTTTCCGTTCTAATAAACCTAGTCCTTTTGTAAGTGTGCTTGTGTTAATTTGTCTTCTAGTTACCTTGTTTAATATAAAAGATAGCATGGAGATACTCATGGCTCACTGTCCAGTTTTGTAGGTTATAATCAAACCAACTTACTCTAGTCTGGGCAGCATTGTTAAAAATAGCAGACTATAACAGCTGTCACTATAAAAGAAAACATCATTGATTCAGTTTTTTTTAAAAAGGCACATTAGTGTAGATAAAAAATGAGGTCCAGAATGTTGGTGCTTCTGAAATGAGCTTAGTTTATTATGTTGATGATATCTTCATTCAGCTGGCTAGGACTTAACGTGTATTTCATGATCATTTCCTCCTTTCAGTTTCTGAGTGTATATTATTTCCTCATTTGATGTTATTTCTTGTTTTTGTTGTATTCTTTTTTTTTTTTTTGAGACGGAGTCTCGCTCTGTCGCCCAGGCTGGAGTGCAGTGGCGCGATCTCGGCTCACTGCAAGCTCCGCCTCCCGGGTTCCCGCCATTCTCCTGCCTCAGCCTCCCGAGTAGCTGGGACTACAGGCGCCCGCCCCTGCGCCCGGCTAATTTTTTTTTTTTTTCTATTTTTAGTAGAGACGGGGTTTCACCATGGTCTCGATCTCCTGACCTTGTGATCCGCCCACCTCGGCCTCCCAAAGTGCTGGGATTACAGGCGTGAGCCACCACGCCCGGCCATATTCTAAATCATTGGTTCTCAAAAAGTCAAAATGATTTTCTTAATAATACTAAGCATTATTTGATTTTTCCTTTTGTTGACATTTACATTGCTGGTGCAAAAGCAATAGTGGCTAAGAATAGCTGGCTGCCTTAGCATGATTCAAGGCAGTGGCACCAGACTGTAGTAGTAGTCACTGTGTTCTTCACTACCATGCACTCACAGTAAGCAAAATGAAAGAAAAAAATTGCCAGTTTTTACTTAAGAATTCCCTTGATGAAGTAGGAAGTTTTAAATTTTAATGAACTTCAACCTGTGAGCATGTCCCTTTAATATTTTGTGCCACAGCAGAGGAAGTATACCTGCAGCATTTCTGCATACTGAAGTAGGCTGATTGTTTCAAGGAAAAGTACTTGTGGAGATGTTTGAGTTGTGAGCTGAGCTAGTTGCTTTTTTCTGGAAAACTATTTTTACTAAGAAGAATCACAGACTATCATTATTCAGATTTCGTTGTTTGGTAGACACTTCAACAAAACCACTTCAAGGAAAAGCAACTGGCAATATTTGTTGCCAGTGATAAAATTTGAACTCTTGGGTAGAATTTTGGAAAACTTGTGTTTGTCACCTTGAGATTGATAGCTTCCCAGTAGTACTTTAAGACTTTTCTGATGACATTGGTGGTAATATTAACAGATGTGAGTTTTGATATTAAATAATGAAATGACTTGACATTTGGAAGATTTGCATAATTCAATAAAGCAATATTTCCAATGGATGATGAAAAACATACATGTCTAAAGGGTCCATTTAAAGTGCAAGATGGACTAATTGATTTTAGTTTGTATGAAAAATTCATTCATAGGGTTTCAGATTCCACGATGCAACTATCTTTAAGAAACTTCCACTTGTTGAGTTTGATATAATATCTATAATTTCATGAAAAGGCAATGAAAATGCTCCCCCCTTTTCCAATTGTATATCTATAGTGAGATCAGATTTTCATCATGTACTTCAATTAAAACAACGTATCTCAACAGGTTGAAGGCAGAAGCAGATATGCTAATCCAACTGTCTTCTACTAAGTGAGACGTTAAAGAGATTTGTAAGAATGTAAAACCATGCGACTTTTCTCACTACAACTTTTTGTTTAAAAATATAGCTATTTTTATAACTATATGTTATTATGTAATGGCTTATTATTTTTAAATGAATTCATAATCTTTTCAGTTTTTATTTATAATATGGTAAATGTCAATAGTTATAACTCACATAAATAAGAAGTTCTTTAGAGTCCTCAAGTTATAAATGTTAAACGGGTTGTGAAACCAAAGTCTTTGAGAACTGCTTTAGTTTGTGATTGAGAACCATCGATTTATTTTTTATTGGATTAATTAGAAACTTTCTCTAAAGAGCTATATACCACTAAGAGTAGATTTAAACTGTTTAAAGAGGTTTAAACATGGTGTATCTGCCATTGAGATGAAAGGCAGAACATGGGGCTAGAAACCAGAAAGATAATTGGTCAGGTAAGAAGAGAATTTAAACCGAGGCAGCTGAGTCTGTGTCTTTGAAAGCTGTTCTAGCCAAGTGGAATGGTTTTCAGGGCTAGTTTGGCTTTCTTACTTGTTTCTTTTCAAATGGTATTTCTTTGAGAACTCATTCTTTTTATGTATGTTTGATTTATGAATAGAACAGAGTCAGACGTTCACAGTGGCAAGTATTATTGGTATAGCACTATCCTGATTGTGTTACATTACTTATTAAATGTTTTCTTCTTGAAACTGAGGGTTTTATTTTTGTAGTCCAGGATTTGTTTCTTAATTTTTGTAGTGGCAGAACAATTTGCTTTTAAAAATCAAGGAAGAACAAATTAAAAATTTCAAGCTCAATTGCACGTATATTCTCTCAAATATATATAACATTAATTTAGTTGGATCTGGATTTTTAAAATTCATTTGAACAGATAAGTATTGTATGCTTTGTGCCCAGATATAGAATAATTTCTGACCTAATGAAGTCTCCTGTCTGATGGCAAGACAATTGAGCAAACACTTCAAATATGGTATAATCACTGTTTAATGCAATTCTCTGTAAGGTACAGGCTCTGGGGCTACTTGGAGTAGTTTAAGAAGGCTTTGCACAGGCAGTAGTGCGGACCTGAGATGTAAAAGCTGCCTGGGAGTTCGCCTGGTGAAGAACTTCAGGGAGGGCAACACAAGTTCACAGAATTACATGTGTAGAGGCATTAGGCATGAGAAAATGTGGCTTGTTTGGGAAACTATAAATATTATTTATGTAGTATCCAGTGCAAGGATGCACAGCAGGAAATAGAATAGGACAGGGACGTAGGGGTCACATCATAAAAGGACTTTCTCTATTGTGTAAACACATTTTAATTATGTCTGGGAGGTTGCAGAGAGCCTTTAAATAATTTTGAGCAAGAGATTAACAGGCTGTGATTAGTATTTTAAAAGACATCAATCTGGTAACAGGGTAGACGGACCTTTAGTAGGAGCTGAGTCTGGAGACTAGAAATCAGTAGATAATACAGAGACTGCCTCAAGAGTTCAGCTGCAGGTGATGCCTGATAGAAATTTCAGTATGAAGATTTGTAGGTTGAGTAATACAGGTATTGGTAAATGCCAGAATGCAGTGAGGTAGTGTTGAAAGAGAATGAGGTTTTAAAGGAATTCCTAATCGAATTCAGTGTACAGTCCAATGTACATGTTATGCCCACTTAATGTTCTTTATATCCTTGAGTCATTAAATAATTTTGCTTGTAAAGTGTATCATCCAGAGGAAGTCATCTGTGGGCAACTTACCCTTTCATTTCATTTATGTGTCTATGTTCCTACCATATGTTTATCAAAACCTTCTGAAAGTTTTATATTCTGTCATTGTTACATTTCCAATATTTTGGTAATATTGAAATTAAAGTGTAACTTTGTGAAGTCATTAATATTATAAAAGGCATTGGGAGTGGAGATTTTATCCAATTTTAGTATAATTACACCTGCCAATTTATTGTCTAGATTAAAGAAGGTTATTCTTTACTATAGAAAGTTATTCTAGACTAAAGAAGGTTTGTAAATTTGTCTTTATATTGAAGTAACAGGTCAGTTTAGAATAAGGTAAGGTGAGTTGTGCCAAAATTTGCTGTTAGGAAGAATTCTCTTGTTTTCTTTTCTGTCCTGTAGTCTCCTAACTTGAATTTTATCCTTTTCTCACTAAAATGCTTCCACTGAGAAGGACGTAAACGTAAAAAGCACAAAAAACATTTTAAGAAACCTTTTAAAGGTCTTGATCATTCAAAAGGTAGGTAAAAGTAGTTTTATGCCATGGTGTTGTTTATACACATTGCCACTTTATTTCTGACTTGGAATGTGAAATGAATGTCAGATAACAGTGTAAATTCAAAAACAAGTTTTAAGTTGGACATGCATATGAAAATATAAATAAAGACACTATTGGCTCTAATTTCCATTGAGTAGTGCCTTAGCTGTCCTTTGGTTATTAATTTTGAGGTATATGAGAATTTCAACTCTTGAGCTTGTATTTTTCTATTTTTTAATAGATAAGCCAAAAGAAGCCAAAAAGGATACATTTGTGGAAAAATTGGCAACTCAAGTAATAAAAAATGTACAAGTAAAAATCACAGATATTCACATTAAGTATGAAGATGATGTAAGTAATTTTTATTTACTAAGTTTAAGTTAATAATTAAATATGTATTTTATAATATTCTTGACTTTTCTATATATGGATTATCTGTACCCATTTTTAAATCCGAGATTGATTTTTTTCTTATGAGTACACTACCATATCTTCTTGTGTTAGGCTAGTTTTATTAGGCATTTATGTATGTAAATATACTATAAAATTATCATGTGTTCCTTTCTGAAGCTGATATAAGAGGTTTTTGGATTGTCCTCTGTTATTTTTTTAAATTTTATTTTACGTGTTAAGACTTATTATAACTTTAAGAAACTAATTTTTGCTTTATGCTGATGAGTTGATTCTAAAAGGTGATGAAATAACTAATGGTAATGTTAATTGGCCAAAAAGTGACTTAAAACTCTGGTCACTTGACTGTAGTCTCATTCTCTTTACATTCCACTGAGTTGGATTGAACACCCACAACTGTTCACACACATGTACAACAGTAGTTGCACAGAAGAAACCAAACTTCACTCATAACCGAAAGTGTAACATCAGCTGATTAAGAACTGTTTAACTGGCTAATTTTAATTAAAGTATAACACATATTTTGAACAATATGCATTGCTTTGTTTAAAAGTTTGAAACATGTAAGAACTTAAATTTTTTTTATTTATCTAGGAACCTGGAAATGTTCATTGCTTCTAAAAATGAGTTTAATTCTTTTTGCTTTAAGTTTGAATTGAATTAAAGCAATACTGACATTGCTAGAATTTATTTTTCTTTTCTTCATAAGTTCCCTATGTAACTTGATAGTCATCAAGACACATTTGTAGATTTTCAAAAAATACTACCTCTGTCTTATGTTGACTTTATTTATGGAGTCATTAAAATGAATTGTGTTAACAAATAAATGTCTTAAAAAAACCTCACTCATAAATGCCTTTGTTAATAACAAACTTAAGAAAATAAAGTATACTCAACACATCATGAAAGGGGAAGAATTATCATTAAAATCCTATGTGGAGATAAGTGAACCTGGGTACACTGTTGGTGGGAATATAAATTACTTCAGCCATTTTGGAAAACAGTGTGGAGGTTCCTCAGAAAACTAAAAATCAAATTACTGTATGATCTAGCAATCCCATTTCTAATTTGTAAAATTAAACTTTATCATAGGTATGTATATATAGGAAAAAACCTAGTATATTTAGGGTTTGGTACTATTTGTGGTCGCAGACATCCACTAGGGGGCTTGGAACATACCTCCAGAGGATAAGCGGGAACTGTGGTGTATAGCCAAAGGAGTTGAAGTCAGTATGTCAAAGAGATGTCTGCATTCCCTTGTTCATTTCAGCACTATTCACTATAGAGAAGATTGTCCATCAGTGGATGAATGGATAAATAAAATGTGTATATACACAATGGAATACTGTTCAGCCTTTAAAAAGAAGGAAATTCTTTCATTTGCACAATTATGTATTAAGAAATGGGTGTAGAGAAAATATAATAATTTATCATAAAGATGCTCACTGGGTAATAGCTGTGGTTTGTAGGTAGTACATTAGCAACTGAGGGTTGTCTTTAATAAAACAAATGGGTTTCTTCAGAAAGAGCTGCAAGTTATTTTGAGCTAGGTATCTCTAAGTATAAAAAGATGAGTGTGGGAATAAAGGAAAATATTTTGCTACAAGTCATCATATGTCTGATGTTAATTAAAATGACTTATAAAGCTATTCGTACTTCTCAACTATACCACATGGATTTTTTTTCTGTTTAGAAAATTGTATGTGACTAAACTCTGTAGTCCCAGTTGGATGATTTAGAACATTATCCATTTCCCTTCTCCCTAGTTTCCTTAGTTTCTGCCATGACCAAACAATTCTATAAGACTTTTCTTTAAGATGTCTAAAACAGTGACACTGTGCACATTGTGGTATAGTTTAAGCACCGTGGATTGCAGCTTGCATATTGAAGATCAGAAATAGAACAAAAACTTAATGTTGACAGATTTTGGATATAGAGACTGAAGAAATTAAATATTAAGGATCTAGAGATTTTCCTAGAAGCATTTTGAAGTGTTAAGAAAATTAAAGGCTTAAAGAGACAGTTCATATTTCCAAGAAAGCCTTTTTTTTTTAATGTGTAAATTTAAGGAGTGCAAGTACAGCCTTGTTACATGATATACTGCATAGTGTTGAAGTCTGAACTTTTAGTGTCTCCATCACCCATAATATACATTGTACCCATTAATAAATTTCTTACCATTTACACTACTTCTCACCCACCCTCAAGTCTCCAATGTCTATGATTCCACAAACTGTCCATGTGTATTCATTATTTAGCTGCCACTTATAAATGAGAACATGCAGTTTGTGTTTCTGCTTCTGAGTTGTTTCACTTAAAATGATGGCCTCCAGTTCCATCCATGTTGCTGCAGAAAAACCCAAACAAACATGTTCTCGTTTTTATGGCTGAATAGTATTCCACTGTGTACCCTAAGTGTTATTAAAATGATTTCACGGCAGTGTTATCTGTAACACCTTTTGAAATTTATCTGTGAAAACATCTTTGATGATATACATAAAAAGATTATTCCTTTTTAACTGTCTAGAGAAAAGTCTTGTTAGTCATAGTTAGTGAGTCGTCTTCTAGTATGAAAAGAGTTCCACTGGGAAAGGATCTTACTGGTAGCATAGAAGTGTTATGTCTACAAAATATGGATAATCCCAGCCATGTTATTACTTGCCTCCCCTGTGTTTTCCACATATCCAATTGGGTTGTAACCTGTAAACACGTTTCCCTCTGCTGCCTATTGTAAAGGACATGGATATGCCTTCACCATCAGCATATTTTACTGTTATCTTTTCTTCTTTGGTAGGTCACTGATCCAAAGCGGCCTCTTTCATTTGGTGTCACGTTGGGAGAGCTCAGTCTACTGGTAATGTTTGCTTTATTTAAAACTTCTGTGGAACCTGTAAAGTATTATTCTGAAGTCACAGGGTAAATTGTCTAAAATCAACTATTCTAAAAGAGCTATGGTTTTTTAAATGTACTATCATGCTACACAACTTCCTAGAAGTTTAACATTTTTAGTGATGCTATTATTACATTTTAAAATTATTTTTAATTGTCTTTCCATGTAACAAGTATCAAAATATCATTATCAAATACTTTGAAAGACATAAAAGCTGTATCTTAAATGTGGGGAAAGTAGGGAAGATGAATTTCTGTAGAGTGAAAGATACACATTTTTGTTATAGGTAGATGGAATTTCTAAATAGCTTATATATGTGCATATGTTTATGTATGTGTGTGTATGTGCGCGCACTCATCTCATTGGGCTATATGTAAATTATTTTGATTATTTTATAATGAATTTTTCTTTTAATGGTCTTTAAGGGTAGACAGCCTATATATAGGCTGGACATTTTTTTTTCTATTACAGGCAACTAAGTAGTAGGAAACATGTTTTGGGGCATGTAAGTGAAGACAAATAGCTGAATTAGGTTTTGCTACGGAGAAGAAGATGTGGTTCATTTAGATACTTTTAAAGTTAAGGACAGTGAACCATAAATCCTACCAGACAAGTTTGCCTTATGTCTACTTATATGGAGAGGGCCTCAATAGGGAAAGAAGAGGAAGAAGAATGGAAGGGTGGTAGACTGGCAGAAAAACAGAAAAAGAAAGACATGGTTATGTGGAAGGCTTAACAATGTTGTGGGCATATAGAGAAGTAGAGATACACACGGAGTTGAAGAACAGAGCAGAAACAATAAAGAAAAAGAGAGCTGAAGAGACAAAGGAAAGGGAGTGAAGGAAGCTAATGTTTAATATACTGTTTATCCTTTGCCTGTTTCCAAAATGACTTTGAAGTAGCTTTCGACCACAGAAGTATACAGTAACACCTTTAAAGAGGATAGAATCTATGTTCTAAAGGATAGAGAGAGAATTGTTCCAGAAAGCTGTAACTAATGATCGTGGTCATAAGGGAGCATAGTAACTTTGAGCTTCTAGCAGACAATGCAAAAAATACAAACTTGTCATATATCTCCTTTTGTCTGATAACAGATATACTGTTGCACAAGAATATGTAGTTTCCTTAGTGTTTGCTGTTGTTTGTCCCTTTGTTTCTTTGCTCAGACTCTTCATTCTGCTTTAGTTGTCTGTATTACTTTCTTCTCTTTGTCTGCCTGGTGATTCTACTCAAGTTTTAATACTTACGTGATACATGACCTTTCTTTCTCGTTCTTTTTCACTTCCTTCTTAGAATTTACCATTCCCTCTTTTATGCTTCCTATTGTATTTTATCAAAGACCTGTAAAATATTATTGTATTGCTTACCATGTTAATCTCCTTCTGTCAAAACCACATTAATTCACTGAAGTAGTACCTACCTTTTAGTGTTTTTGTGATGATTAAATGAGATGGTTTATGTAAAACATTTGGCACATTGTCTGGCTCAATTATTTCCTGTTTCAACTATTACAGTGGCTATTATAACAACAATAGCAATAGCAAACCTATCTCTTTTGTATCCATACCATTTATTTTTCTTTGCAATTACATTCTAACTTTTAAATCTAAAGTTATTGTCCCACCTCTGATCTGGATCTCATTTTACCTATCTGCCCATTGTACTCTCACTCTACTACTCCACTGAAACAGTTCTTAACAAGTTTCTCAAAAACGCCCTTGCTGCTAAATAAGTTTAGTATTTGGCATTGCTGAACATGCTGTCCTTGTAGAAACATGGTCATGCGGTAATTTCCATACCCTCCTGGTTTTCTTTCTATTACACAACAATTATTTGTTTTTTTAGAAAAGAATGTGTACCATCTTCAATAGTGTATAGGCTGGCTGTCTGTTTTCATTCATATCCAATTCTTTCCACAGTTCAAATTCAAATACGTATTAATCCAGTAATTATTTTCTGAATGAATGAACTCAAGTTAGAATCACGTCAATTCTCTTTTCATTGTTTCTTTGATTTTGTCTTATAAATATATGTAAAGAAATAGATAGCTAATATTAGGTAACATTAAATTAGCTTAAAGAAAGATGTCTTTTATTCCTAAATTATTTTGTTACATTTTACAAGTATTAGAGCACCATTATATGACATCCATACCACATTTCACAGGTATTCTCTTTTTTATTTTAGACTGCAAATGAACACTGGACTCCATGCATATTAAATGAAACAGACAAAATTATATACAAGGTATTATATTGGAATAAAAATTTTTGTTAGTTTCCTAGGTACAGTTAATTTATTTTCTTGAAGAAACATTGATGGAGCACAGCGTGCTGTTGGAGTGTGATTTAAAAGTCTAGGGTCTAGTTTTGGCCCTGCTACTTAGTGTGTGACCCTCTGTAATCACTTACCAGTTCTGAGATATAGGTTCTTTAGCTATCAAGTAAAGATACAGGATACAGTTAATAGGTCCCAAATGGTACTTTGTGAACATTAGATATTGAGATATTTTTAGATGTTATAGAAAAAATATTCTCTAATCAAGTAAGATTATTGATTAAAGTACTAAGCTATACATAATTAAACAGATACGTTTCATTTTATTTTAAACTATAGAGCTTTAAATATGGTAACAAACACTGACTCACCAAGAGGGATATTTAGTATGTAGCTTTCCCACCTTGTTGACCATAGACTCCTCTGCTACCACCTGTTTTCAGGAAACAGCTATTCGTATCTGCTGGAAGGATCGTGTCTTTTGTTTTAGCAAAATGTTTACAGGGTTTGTTAAATACTAAATTCTCAATAAATATTTGATAATTGAATGAATGAGTTTCTTGGAAATAGTGTTCTTGAAAGCACAATTTAGCAAATGCTAGACTTAATAAAGTCTGAATAACATGAATATATTTTCCCCTCATTTTATATTATTTTCTTTAAAAATTCAAAATGGCATTTGGGTAATTTTGGAGTGGTGAACAGAATAATCTTTTAAAATTGATTCATAATTTCAATGTGTTGATTGCTTGATCTCTTTTCATTTTTCTTTTGTAGCTTATACGACTTGATAGTCTTAGCGCATACTGGAATGTAAACTGCAGCATGTCTTACCAGAGATCAAGGGAACAGATTTTGGTAATATTAATGTATACTTGGAAGAGCTAACTTCACTCCCGCTCCCTAAATTTGTTTAATGTAAGAGGGCATTCATGAGGACAGGATATCAGCCATTTGTTTAACTTGTATTTTGCTAAATCAGAAATATGAAAAACATCCTTTCAAATCCACTATGTGTCTTCAGAAAAGCAGTTTTGTTTTTGAAGATCTTTGTGAAATCATTCACTGGACAGTGACATCAGAGTCCATGGTATTAAATTAAAACTGTATTTATGCTTTTTTACATTCTCATTTTGATGATATTCTTGTCACATTTTGATATTTCATATTACAATGATTAAGAATATTATAAAGATAATATTTCTCAGATATAAAACATGTATCTTTGACAAATGTTTTAGACATTTGTTATGGTGATTTTCTGAATAGTAGAAGATTAATTCAAAACTTCAGTGTGCTAAATCAATCTTAGCCATGTTTATTTACTTAGAGGATAAAGAAAGAACAATTGAATTTTTAGAACTGGATAAATTTCAGTCTTCCATCTCGTATTTCTCGGAAAGATACTGTAACATATGATTTGCCTTTGACTAGAATGTGTCTGAAATCCCAGTGTATGGATATACATATATGTGCATTTTTTCAGACTCAGAGGGGACATACTACAAGGTTGTTTGTAGACATACTGAATTCTTAAAATTATCTGCTTCTGTGTCTTTATACTTGTAAATAATGCTCAGTGTGTTTTTCTTATTGACTACTAGTAACAGAGAAACAAAGATATTAATGTAAGAACCAAGTTTTGTGTGTGTGTGCATGTGTGTGTGTGCATGTGTGTGACTGAATATATGTGCATTTTCTTTTTCATTCTCATTCAAATTTTTTGTTTAGGATCAGCTGAAAAATGAAATTCTTACAAGTGGAAATATACCCCCAAATTATCAATACAGTAAGTAATAGTAAAAGTTTATTTCATGTTATAGGAAGAAACATAGAAGTAAATATATTATTTTAAAATACTTTTCTGATAATGTTACTTAGTCAAACAAAGTATATTAATTTTATACCTTACTATTATGATACAGCATGTTTGGGTTATAACTAATTATTTAGGAATAGATCGTAATACACACACCACTGGAGAATAGCAGATAGAGAAGGGCAGTATAGCTGTAGTTCATTCCCTACAGCCAACCTTCTTTGAATTCCATGTATTCTTCTTAGCTTGCTGTTGTATTCTTTGTTTTAGGATTTAGGTTTTCTTTCTTTCTTTTTTCAAAAAGTAACCAAATCTCTGAGATTCTGGTATTGAGGTCACCCTTATGTTACTACTGCAGTGTAAACGTAATCCTGCCACTCTAGAGAATTCTTTTTCTGAGCTTTTCTATTTCTTGGCAGCCTCACCTTTATTTTACAACTAGATCTCTAACACAGCTTCCTGCTTATTTGTTTATTTTTTCCATCTGTTTTCTTTATTTTAGTTTCATGCTATTGAAGCTACGGGTTTGTTTTTATTTAGTATACCCCTTTATGGTTGTTCTCAGCTTTCATTCTCAGGTTGTTCCATATTACTCTGGTTCACTGTTGTTTTCTTCATGTTCTTTTATAACTAATTGAATTGACGCTGGATAATAGTTGGCACTTATGTTACACAGATCCCTACATTTTATGATGATAAAACTTTCAAGTGCTGCTAGTTTGTGAAAGCATTTAGGTTCACTGATGGTAAAAAAATAGTTAAGGAAAATCTACAATTTCATTCTTAGGCATTTTCCATTTATAACTAGCCTTTAAAGCCATTGAAAATATTGTACAATCTTATGCAAACATATTTTTATATGGTAATTACCAGTTTTTATAGTTTTTTTTTTTACCAGTTTTTATAGTTTTGATATTATTCACAGTTAAAATTTATCACCTTGCATTACCCTGTCATCTTCCCTAACACACCTTTTTATGTTACTTCTCAACCCGAAGATTATTTTCTTTAGTTGATTCTAAGGTTATGTACGTAATGATAATTTTGAAAATAATAAAGAGATGAGCAGATTCTTTTTTTGGAATGAATTTTATTCATGATCGTGTTACTAAATTTTGCTAGTGATTAATTAAGACAGAAATTTATCAGATCTTATTTCCTTTTTTGTATTAGTATTTTTAATGAATAATAAAATCATTAAATGTCTTGCAGCAAGGAAGAGAAGTCTAATTTTATGCAGACTGTAAATAACCAAGAGTAGATTGTTGTCTCTTTTATACATTTCTTACCTAGAAGCATAGGACTCCAATTTCCTCCTTGGAGATTTCGCTTTAACCATTGAGGTTATTATTATGCATATAAGTAGAAGCTTAAATTGCTTAAATATTTTTGGTAGTGATTTTATTACACATGTTTTTGATCATTTTTCTTCTAGAATAACAGTGTTCTCATAATTATTTATACTTGTTTATATGTAAAAGCATATAAACATATCTTATGTCTTCCCATGTAATACAAGTTTTCCAGCCAATATCAGCCTCTGCAAAACTCTACATGAATCCTTATGCAGAATCAGAGCTCAAAACACCCAAACTGGATTGGAACATAGAAATACAAAATATTGCCATTGAACTGACCAAACCTCAGGTATGATTCATGTGGATATTTCCAGCTTTGATTAACCTTGAATCTTGACTGCTTTTATTTGTGATTATTACTTCTCTAGTGGTTGGTGATTTTTTGGGGTTCATTATATTGAGATTTGACTGTTTAAAAATTTTCGTTTTAAAGAAAATGAATTTCAAATTTAAGAAGTAGTTTTTAAAAATTTTATTTTGTCTTTTCCTAAATTGTGGAGAATCATATCAAACTGTAGGGAAGGAAATTATTTCCATTTGGCTCACAATTGTTGATGGAAGATTTTTTTTTTTTTTTTTTTTTTTTTTGAGATGGAGTCTCACTCTGTCGCTCAGGCTGGAGTGCAGTGGTGCAATTTCAGCTCACTGCAAGCTCCGCCTCATGGGTTCACGCCATTCTCCTGCCTCAGCCTCCCAAGTAGCTGGGACTATAGGCGCCCACCACCATGCCCGGCTAATTTTTTTGTATTTTTTAGTAGAGACCGGTTTCACTGTGTTAGCCAGGATGGTCTCGATCTCCTGACCTTGTGATCTGCCCACCTCGGCCTCCCAAAGTGCTGGGATTACAGGCTTGAGCCACCATGCCTGGCCTGTTGATGGAAGATTTTAATGTGTTTTTCCCTCCTCAGTTTTTAATGGAAGGCACTCTTATTAAATATTGTTCTTTTAATTTTTAGAACAGCAATGTTGGCAGCTTTTTCCACTATTTGTTTCCCAAGTGTGGTTATGTGCCCCGAGAGTTGGGGTGACAGGCTTGGTGAACTGGAAGTGAAAGGAGGACAGGAGATTTAGCTAATTGAGCTTTTTCGTACAATTCTGTTCAATAAAAATGTAATGCAAGTTGTAATTTTATATTTTCTTGTAGCTGTGTTAACAATGTAGAAAGAAAAAGGTGAAATTAACTTTAATAATACATTTTATTTAACTTAATATTTCCAAAATATTAATCATATCAACATGTAATAAATGTAAAAAGTTGTAATGAGACATTTTACATCACTTAAAATACATTTAAGTTCAGACTAGACACATTTCAAGTGATGAACAGCCGCATGGTAGGTAACTACATTGGGTAGTTAGAACTACATTGGGAAAAATTAGAGAGGAGGAAGCTAGACTTGCCGCTGTTTAAAAATCTTCTCTGGTTTCGTGCTGCCTCTGGGTGTATGTTTCCCTCCATTTGAGCTGTTTGTCAGATCTACACAGAGTTGCTGTGTTGATAGTAAGATGGCTGCTTAAATAGCTTTATCTTGCTTTAGTCATGCAAATAATTTTTGCAGTAATTTCAAAATCAGCTCATAGCTAGCTACTGCTGAAACGATGGTCCAGAGGAAAAATATATAGTCTTAGAAACAGGCATATTTTATATCATAATTTACAGATACCATATTTCATTGTTTCTAAGATGTTAATTTAGTTTACATTTTAACATCTGAAAATAGGATGTATATATTGGTGATAACACAATTTAATTAACAGCAGTTTTCTTTTATAGTAGAACCTAAAATTATATTACAACTTAAAATTGATAGTGTCTTAAATTTGATGAACTGTAGTATACTTATAATTGATAGCATCTTAAATTTAATGAAATATAGTATATTATTGGGCTAACAGGCAACATTGTTCAGGGAATTTGGAGTCTCACTAGACTGAAAAATAGAATGAAATTTAGTCTTTATTTATATGTACAATGTAATAAATATAATTTTATTTTTGTTTTAACAGTACTTAAGTATGATTGACCTTTTGGAGTCAGTGGATTATATGGTTAGGAATGCGCCTTATAGGAAATACAAGCCTTATTTACCACTTCATACCAATGGTCGACGATGGTAAGTTAGAATTTGTTTTTTGTTTTGTGAGGAACATATAATCATATATTTAGTTACTGTCAGAGTTAAGCAACTTTCAAAAGCCAAGTAATTCAACCACTTTAAAAAAAGGGGCAAGAGTATTAAAAGACAAATAGTAAATATATTGATTACTTATAAAAACAGCTTTCACTTCTTTTGTATGTCCGTATTACTTTTTTCATATGAACATCCACTTGTATTTCTGCTCCTAGTTTCCCAAATTCCTTTTTTTTTTTTTGAGATAGAGTCTTGCTCTGACCCCATGCTGGAGTGCTGTGGCGCGATCTTGGCTCACTGCAACCTCTGCCTCCCCGGTTCAGGCGATTCTCCTGCCTCAGCTTCCCACGTAGCTGGGACTACAGGTGTGTGCCACCACGCCCAGCTAATTTTTGTATTTTTATTTTTTTGAGACAGAGTCTTGCTCTGTCACCCAGGCTGGAGTGCAGTGATGTGATCTCGGCTCATTGCAACCTCCGCCTCCAGGGTTCAAGCAACTCCCTGCCTCAGCCTCCCAAGTAACTGAGATTACAGGCGCCCACCACCACGCCTAGCTAATTTTTGTATTTTTAGTAGAGACGGGGTTTCAGCATCTTGACATCTTGAACTCCTGACCTTGTAGATCCACTCTCCCCGGCCTCCCAAAGTGTTGGGATTACAGGCGTAAGCCACTGCACCCAGCCTAATTTTTGTATTTTTAGTAGAAATGGGGTTTCTCCATGTTGACCAGGATGGTCTCAGTCTCTTGACCTCGTGATCTGCCTGCCTTGGCCTCTCAAAGTGCTGGGATTACAGATGTGAGCCGCTGCACCCGGCTGGTTCCCAAATTCTTAACATTCAAGACATTCAACATTTTTCTAAAAGTTTTATCGCTTATCAGTCACCCACGTAGACTCAGTGTTATAACCATACTGGAATACTATTTCCCACGTGTCATTTTGTGCCTTTTGGATTTTGCTTTGGCAAACTCTCTTCTTTAAATGTTTTCTTATATCTAAGTCTATTTAAGTCAGACAATTTTACTGGGAATTGCTGAGCTCTTATAGGAAGAGAGTTAAGAAGAACAAAAAACTTGACAGCGTAAGTTCTAAAAAGTCAAGACTTTTCCTGTTTTGTCTTAAACCTTTATATTCACATTTATGTTAACAAAATTTGATTTTCAGGTGGAAATATGCAATTGACTCTGTTCTTGAAGTTCATATAAGAAGGTATACACAGATGTGGTCATGGAGTAATATAAAAAAGCACAGGCAGTTACTCAAGAGTTATAAAATTGCCTACAAAAACAAGTTAACACAGTCTAAAGTCTCAGAAGAAATACAGAAAGAAATTCAGGTATATCTTGCATATATATTAGTGAGAACTATTATTTGTCTAATCATCCTTTAATATTCTTCTGCATGTAATTTGAATCAAAAAATAATTTTAGGAAGAACAGAATTCACCTCTTTTTGAGAGAGAATTATATGGGAAAATGCAGAATTTTTTTTTTCCAGTTTTTCTTCTTTAAAAAAACTTTTTTCCCCATGCCAATATCAGATAAAATAAGGTTAATGTAAACGATTTGGGAAACGTGTCTGGTTTTTATTATAATGTTTAGAAAGTCAGTATCAGAGCTGTTTAAATATGTGTTTATTAGATAGCTATATCTTGTTTTATTAGTAAACATCCTGTATTTATATGGTAGTAGCTTTTCAAAATGCTTCAAATATTATTTATAAAAAACTTTTACTTCTTGGGAAAGAAGAGGTCTTATCTACCCCCGTTTAAAAGTTAGAAACACGGCTGGGCGCGGTGGCTCACGCCTGTAATCCCAGCACTTTGGGAGGCTGAGGTGGGCAGATCACCTGAGGTCAGGAATTGAAAACCAGCCTGGCCAACATGGTGAAACCCTGTCTCTACTAAAAATATTTTAAAAATTAGCTGGGCATGGTGGTGGGCATCTGTAATCCCAGCTACTCGGGGGGCTGAGACAGGAAATTGCTTGAACCGGGAGGTGGAGGTTGCAGTGAGCTGAGATCCCACCGTTGCATTCCAGCCTGGGCAACAAGAGCAAAACTCCATCTCAAGAAAAAAATAAAATAAAAAATAAAAAAATGAAAGGTAGAATCACACTGGATACATAATTTGCTTAATGTCTTCTGATTTCAGTTATAGAACTATTTCTACCAATGATTCATAATTTGAAAAATGAGTTGAATTACTATTTTTATGAGTCGAATTACTATTTTTCTGAAATAGTATGAAATATTAGAAAAAGCGTAGATATTAGAGTCAGATGGATTTGGGTTCAAGTACTGACTTGGATATTTACCAAGTGTCCTTCTGATTATGGACACAAGTTTCTCAAACTGCCAGGTCTAGTGTTCTTGTTCTCATATATAAAATGGTAACAATATCTGTCTTACAGAGTTGTGAGAATTGTATGAGACAGCACATAAAGCACTTAGAACACAGGTCACCCGGTTAACGTACTTTTATGTAAATGTCTCAAATCAGTTTCTATTTTAGCCTACTTATTGTTTTGCAGAATTTTACATTCTTAAATATTATGTGTTTTGTAATGGCACCCTTAGTACAATGGCTATATAATAATAAGAATGGGGGGAGTAAGAAGTAAGAATCGTGGCCGGGCGCGGTGGCTCAAGCCTGTAATCCCAGCACTTTGGGAGGCCGAGACGGGCGAATCACGAGGTCAGGAGATCGAGACCATCCTGGCTAACACGGTGAAACCCCGTCTCTACTAAAAAATACAAAAATCTAGCTGGGCGAGGTGGCGGGCGCCTGTAGTCCCAGCTGCTCGGGAGGCTGAGGCAGGAGAATGGCGTAAACCCGGGAGGCGGAGCTTGCAGTGAGCTGAGATCCGGCCACTGCAGTCCAGCCTGGGCAACAGAGCAAGACTCCGTCTCAAAAAAAAAAAAAAAAAAAAAAAAAGAAGTAAGAATTGTAAGGATGATATGTAAAACAGGTCCTCTTCGTAAATACTCTTGTTTTCATGTGCATTTATGTCTATGTGTTAATTATAAAGGTCTCACATAAAAATTATTTTCATACTGTATTTAATGAGGATTTATTTTCTTGGAAAACTTATTTTCTTACTGTAAAAAATTAAAAAACTTAAAAGTCTAGAATACATTCAGATTTATACTAATACTATCATTAGGTCACAGGTACTGATAATGGACTAGATATGCCTAGAAATCATAAACATTTCTTTTATCTAATGATAAAAGAATGATTAAATTTCTTGTTTTATCTAATGATTAAATTTCTTGTTTACAAGTGCCTCTCTGTTTTTTACAGGACTTGGAGAAGACTCTAGATGTTTTTAACATAATTTTAGCAAGGCAACAAGCACAAGTTGAGGTAATCATTTTTATTAGCTGATTTTATGTTTTAAACATGTTAATACCCCCTTTTATACCTAGGATCAAGAAATTGAAGTTTCATGAGTTGAGGTTTTTATTGCTTAATTTAGTCTCAGGAGAACAGAAACTGGAGTACTGAAAAAAAGCCACTAACATGAAGGGGAAAAAAAAAAACCTTAATTTTTTTTTTTTTTTGAGATGGAGTCTCACTCTGTCTCCCAGGCTGGGATGCCGTGGCATGCTCTTGGCTCACTGCAGCCTCCGCCTCCCGGGTTCAAGTGATTTTCCTACCTCAACCTCCTGAGTCGCTGGGATCATAGGTGCGTGCCACCACGCCCAGCTAATTTTTTTTTGTAGTTTTAGTAGAGACGGGTTGTCACCATGTTGACCAGCCTGGTCTTGAACTCCTAACCTCAGGTGATCCGCTCATCTCAGCCTCTCAAAGTGCTGAGATTACAGGCGTGAGCCACCGCGCCTTGCCACTTACACAATTTTATAATGAAAAATCTGAAAAACTCTAAAAAGAAAGTAAATAAAAGACATCTATAATCCTGACAACTTAGAATACTACTGTTATCATTTTGGCTATCAGTTTTTCTCCCATGCTTATATACCTGCTTATTTGTGCTTTTTTTCTCTCTCTCTCTTTTTTTTTTTTTAACTTTTTCTTTGTTCCTCTTCCTTCCCTTCCTTCTTCCTTCTCTCCCTTTCTTCTTTCTTTTCTCCTTTCTTTCTTCCTTCCTCTTTCCTTCACTTTCTTTTTTTCCTTTCTGAAATTGGAAATGATCTACTGATAATGTTTTATAACTGCTTATTTATTGTTGCCTTGTGTGCAATGTTCCATGTCATTTCTAAGATTCTGTAACATGACTTTTTGGTAATTAAAAAAATAAATTACAAATGCATTATAACTCATTGTAGAAAAGTTAGAAAATATAGATAAAACAAAAAGAATCATCTCAGAAACGAAAAGTAACTACTGTTAATACCTTTCTGTATATCCTTTTAGTCCTTTTTATAGTTATAGATGTCCATATACTTACTCATACTTTTAAATGAGATTAAGGCATATACAGTTGACCCTTGAACAACCTGAAGGTTAGGGATGCCAAGCCCCGCACGATTAAAAATTTGTGTATAACTACCTTCACTTTTCTTTTTTTTGAGATGGAGTCTTGCTGTGTTGCCCAGGCTGGAGTGCAGGGGCGCAATCTTGGGTCACTGCAACCTCTACCTCCCAGGTTTCAAGCCATTCTCCTGTCTCAGCCTCCTGAGTAGCTGGGACTAGAGCCATGTGCCACCATGCCTGGCTAATTTTTGTATTTTTGATAGAGATGGGGTTTCACCACATTGGCCAGGCTGGTCTTGAATTCCTGTCCTCAGGTGATCCACCCACCTCGGCCTCCCAAAGTGCTGGTATTACAAGCATGAGCCACCGTTCCCGGCCTGTGTATAACTTCAGATTCTTCAAAAACTTAACTACTGATAGCCTACTGTTAACCGAAAGCCTTATTGATAACAGTCAATTAACACATATTTTTAAATGTTGTATGTATTATACACTGTATTCTTACAATAAAGTAAGCCAGAGAAACGAAAATGTTGTTAAGAAAATTAGAAGGAAGTGAAAATATATTTACTATTCAGTAAGTAGAAGTCTATCACTATAAAGATCTTCACATTGAGTAAGCTGAGTAGTGGGAGGAGGAAGAAGAGGATTGTCTCAGGGGTAGCAGAAGCAGAAGAAAATCCTAGTATTAGTGTACTCATGCAGTTCAAACCCATGTTGTTCAAGGGTCAACTGTACACTTGTTCATTTATTCTGTTATGCTTGCATTATGGCTAGAGTATAGACTTGGGAGTCAGGTGGTCTGGATTCTGATCTCAGCTTTGCCATCTACTAATTATATGATTTTGGGCTATTTGACCCCTCTGTGCCTTAGTTTCCTGATTTGTGAGATTAATTAGTAGAAGCTACATCTTAGGATTATCGTTAGGAGTACCTGATAATTCATTTAAAACACTTAAATAATTATGTGCACATAGTAATGACTAAATACATAATTTTTTTCATTGTCATTATCGTTTGCATTAGCCCGCAGAAATGAACAAAACAGGCAAAAATCTTTTATTTATATTGTAGTAGGGGATAAGGTTAATAAGTACTTCGATAAAAATAAAGTAGGAAAGAATACAAGGAGCACTGAAGCTAGGAAGTGATAATGATTTGCAGTTTTAAACAGTGTTGTCAGGAAGAGCCTCACTAAGAAGGAAACATTTGAGCAAAGACCTGAAGAACATGGGACAGTCAGCCAGAAAGATATCTAAGGGAAAAGTATAACCAGGCAGAAATAATAAAGTGTAACTGCTTAAGGGTTTTGGGGTTGGAACATACCTGGCTCATTGAGGAAGCTAACTGGAGTCCTGAGAGAGGGAAAAGTGGTGGTTAATGAGGTCAGAGAAGAAAGGTAGCAGAGGAAAGGCAGGGCTGCACGTGGGAGTTGAGGAGATTGCCAGATTGTGTAGCAGCATCTTACAAGCCATTATGTGGGTTTTGGTTCTTATTCTGAATTGGGAAACCAATAGTAGGTTTTGAGTACAGGATGATATGATCTGACTTAAGTTTTAAAATTCATCCTGGCTGCTTTGAAAGCAGACTGTGGGAAGGAAGGCAAGAGTGAAAACAGGGAGAGCAGTTAGGAGGCTATTGAAATAATTGAGATGAGCGGTGACAGTAGCTTTGCTGAAAATGGTTGCAAATAAAGGTGATGAGAAAGGGTCAGATTCTAGATATACTTCGAGGGTACAGCCAGTATTTCTTGACTGACTAGATGTGAGTTGTCGGAGACAGAGTAAAAAATGCCTTTAAATATTTTGACCTGGAGCAGTTGGAAGGATGGATTTGCTATCAAATAAGAGGGGGAAGATGGGAGAGAACAAGCTTGAGTGATACGAGAGAAGACCAGGAGTTCAATTTGGGACCTATTATGTTTTAGCTCTTAGACCTCAGAGGGGCAATGGAGTAGGCAATTATGTGGAGTTCAGAAGAGGAATCTGTGCTGGGTATAGAAATGTAGGAAGGGTCAGCACATGGATTTCTTTAAAGCCATGAGATTGGATGAGATCACCTCAGGAATTAGTATAGCTAGAGAAGAGGAGGGTTGCAAAGATCCAAAGCATCCATTGTTACAATCAGAGGGATGGGAAAGAACCAGCAAAGGAAGGGATTGCCAGAGTTGTAGTAGGGAAGCTGTATGAATGTAACACCTTCAAATTCAAGTGGAGAAAGAATTTCAAGGTAGAGAAAGTGATCAACTGTGACAGATGCACCTGATTTTTTAACTAAGATAGGACAGAATTGACCATTAAACTTACTAAATATGGGATATTTTAGCTATGACATTTTTCAAGTAATTTTTTTGGCACCAATTTCTTTTTATTCTCTTCTTTTGCACTCTTAATTTTATATTCTATGCATATATATAGATATAAATATATAAAATATATAGGCAAAGATGAAAATACCCATATATATTAGATATATATATATTCATACATAAGAGGTGTGTGTGTGTGTGTATATGTGTATATATGTGTGTGTGTGTGTGTGTATATATATGTATTTAGACCTTTTGGTACTCTGTTCATTTTTCTCCTGCAATCTTTTTTCTCTCTCTAAGGCTAGATAATTTCTATTGATCTATCTTCAAGTTCTGTCTTCCTTTTGTCATCTTCATTTTGCTGTTGAACCCATCTTGGGAATTTTTAATTTCAGATAATATATTTTTCAGGTCTGAAATTACTATTGAGTTTTTTTTTTTTTTATAGTTTGCATTTCTCTATTGAAGATTCCAATCTTTTTAGTAATTTCCAGTGTGTTTGCCTTTATGTCAGGTAACAGTGGCTCTCTGATAGTTCCAGCTATCAGACATTGAAGTTATCTGATTGTTGGCATCTGATGATTATCTTTCCCTTGAGAATTAGTTACATTTCCGGTTTCGTTTGTTTTTGTATGTCAAGTAATTTTGGATTGTATTTTTGACATTGTGATTATTATGTAATCTATGAATCTTGTTATAGTGCTCTGGAAAACGTTGACATTTTGTGTTAGTGTACAGCCTAGTTAGGTTCTGAATCTAAGTTGTGTTTGCCTTCTGTGGATGGTGGTTCAGATTTCAATTCAGCTCTTTAAACCTTTGGTATGTAAGTTTGAGTTTGTTTTACTCATGAATAATACAGGGATTAGTTTGAGACTTGCACAGGTGGTTCATGTTAGTTGGGGTGGCTAAAACCTTTGCTACTTTGGTTTGGGTTAGTTTCACATATGTGAAGCTTGTATTAGACTGAGATTTGGACAGGTTCATATACAGAATTAAGAGATAATCCCCTTCTCAAGCTCTTTCCCTGCCAGGGTTTTCTCGTATACATTCTGGCCTTCATGAACTCCATTTACTGGTTCCTTGGCCAGAAGTACGGAGTTTTTCTCAGGGTTTTAGCTGCCGGTACAACTGTGCTCCATGTTCCTCTGCTCTGCTCCATGGTGAGGCCCTTGCTCAGGGCAGAGCCGTGTATAGTAGTTTTCTATGCCTATATAACAAACTTTGTGGCTTGAAACAACACATAGCTATTATCTCTGAGTTTCTCTGGGTCTAGAATCTAGGTATGGGTTAGCTGAGTCCTCTGCTTAAGGTTTTAAAATATTGCTAGATGTTGGTTTGGGACTATGGTATCTGAAACGTGACTGATGGAGAATCTGCTTTCCTTGGCAGAATTTAGCTCTTTGTGGCTGTGGGATGGAAGGCTTCAGTTTTTTGTTGATTTCTGGCTAGAGCTGCCCTCAGCTTATAAATATCATCTTCAGTTCCTTGCCTAATGGGCTTCCCAACATAGAAACCGTAACATGGCAGCTTTCTTCTTCAAAAGAAGGGAGAAACTCCAGCAAGATGGTCGCTAAAGTCTTGTATACATAACATATACATTGTACACAGAATCAAGTAT